ACAATAGTATCCAGTAAGAAAGTGGGGTGAGATAATCATACACGGACGAAGAGAGGTGGGGGAGATTAGACAAGGGAGAGGGATAAGGCCCACTCCTTCTCCGGGCTCCTCCTACAACAGCAACCCCACATCAGCAATGATCTGAATACAAATTAGAGACTCAGCCTCCGGGTGCCACGTGGCACCGATCAAAACATTAATTAGCGCTGGAGCCTCGTCGTCATGAAGACATCAGGTACGTATTCACAACACCTCACAAGTCCTGATCTCATCCCGAATAGTCACGACCCCTTCTTGAAGTAACGAAGCCGATGATCAATAGCCGGTCGTAAGGATCCGACAATACGACACGTGGCAACGCCACGTCAGCAGCAATACGTGGTGACTGCCACGTCAGCAGATCAGAGACAGTCGCCAGCCAGATAGCAAGCCAGCCAGCGGTAACTCACCATGTCAGCAAATGTCGGCCTTCCTCCAGTCTCGCAGTGTCAAACCAAGGCTGCGAGAGTCAGGCGCTGAAAACAGCGTCAACGCAAGACAGCCAGCCTTCCCAAAGTCAAGGAGCCAATGCTCTTATATTGTTGACTCGGGGTCTGATCCCCGGTAATATCCAACCTCAGCCGTCCAGATCTCCCTGCCTGGAGGGTCTGGATAGATCTGCAACTGTATCTTCTTTGGCCTGGGTCGTAGTCTGGGTACCTGCACTCAACAAGTGAATGAATCTGATCCAAGACCTGGCATGGTACTTTGACTGACAGTTGATTTTGACCTTTGATTTTCCTAAGTCTTGGCGTTCGGTCCCACAGCCGTACGCAGTTTACTCAGGCTGGGGCATGTGTTGGTTAGACAGCCCGGCGCAGTCTTCCACAGACTGCGTGGCCTGGGGCTAAGGGTTGGGCCCCAGGTCGACTGCTGAACAGGGTTATTACATACCCACTGAGCTGGGGGGTATTCTAATGAATCTGACCAAAAATTGAGGTAGTTGAGCTTATGTCGAGCAAAATGTAAAGTTTGAAAACGCCATCCAGGAAAATCTGATGGGAAGTAGATTGATGAAAGGAAAGGAAAAAGAAAGATGAGGCGATCGAAAGCCAAGATGCAATACAACATGCCTTGCGCATGAATTTGACCGCAAATCAAGGTAGACGAGCTCATCTACAAGCCAAGTCAGCCACAACGTCCGATGCGAGTGAATCGGAATGGAAACAGTGGTGGACTAGGTCATCCAGCGTCCAAAGTGAGTGAAACCAAGGAAGTTTTGCACGTCGAACCAGTGAGCAGAAATCCAGTTCGCAGCGATGAACGGTCGCTAGGAATCCGTCCCAATTCATGTGCGGGGGCGGGGGAACACTGCAAATGAACCTTTACTAGGGGGAGTGGACACAGAACAATTGTGACTCTGCCCTCGATGTCCAAAAGGTGAGTTCATGCCAAGGCACAAACGAAGGGCAAAACAGAACACGAACTGACCGCTGTCCAGACCCTTACTGGATGCACCTGACCACAATCACGTCCCTAATAATGGGGGGAGAACGAGAGCGAGAGAGAGCAGAAAACAGAGAATGTGGGAGAAGGGGGGGGGGGGGGGGGGGGGGGGGGGGGGAGAGAGAGGGAGAGGGAGAGAGAGAGAGAGAGAGAGAGAGAGAGAGAGAGAGAGAGAGAGAGAGAGAGAGAGAGAGAGAATACAGTAGGTAACTCTTTTGATGACGAGTGTATTTTTCTTCGCACCCTCTTTTTACTCTATCAGTCATGGAATAGCTTTGTGGAGGCCCTGTCTGGTTATTGTCTTTACCGGCTTCGGGGAGATCTCTGGGGCATCTGAGAGCCTGTCGTTATCTCGGGGGGATTCAGATTATCGTGAGAGAGCAAGAGAGCGGTGAACGAGGTAAGAGAGAGGGAAGAGAGAGGTGAAGGAGAGGTGAGAGGGAGGAGAGAGAGACACGAGAGAGAGGGAAGAGAGAGGTGAGAGAGAGGTGAGAGAGAGGCGAGAGAGAGGCGAGAGAGAGGACTCGTAAAAGAGTAAGTTATCTATGTGTTTTTGAGGTTGGGTTGCCCTGTTGGAATAGGCTATCATATTGGAGTGTTCACGGGTGGCACCTCTCACGAGGGATTTCATTTTTCTGTTCTTCTGGTAAGCCGTAGACCCTCTAATTGACAGAGGGAATATTGCCAGTTAAGACAACAGCTGCTGCGCGTTTCACTTGCATGGAGAGACGAGTCTGCAGAAGCAAGAAAATGCATATAGAGACAGGTTTGTGGAGGCCAGAATTGCATGGCGAGAGCCTGAGGTGAGGAGTGTTCTTTCTTTGTGTATGAGCCTCTCTCCTCGTCACTCTCTGATTCTTCATTGCATTGTTCGCGTTCGGCACTGGGCCCGCTTTGGATCAAAAGCTTTGTTTTGGGGGGCCAAAAGAGAGGCCAGACTAATCCACTCGACAAGAATGGATTTGTCCTCTTCCAGGATGCATCACAACATATGGAAAGACAATAGTAGGGAGAAAATAAAAGGAGAGGACGGTTTCTTTCATTTTCTTTTCCCTCTGCCTATCGGGGCAGCCCCCACACTGCCAGATGTCATCAACGCCCCTGCAAAGGCCTCTATCGCATCAGATGAGAAAAAGAATAAAAAGAGCCATTTGTCCTTTTTCCCTCTGTTCTAAACCACCTGTACTTCCGGGGCTCTTTTTCCCGACACAGATTTCTGCTGCGCGACCCATAAAAACGAACTGGCACAGGTACATTTTTTCCCGTTTTTTGCCTGGCGCAGCTAACCATTTCAGTCCGCCGCGCCAAGCCCCGAAAGTTGCGCCTCGTTTACAGCTGCATCGGAACAAAATGTATGGGAACAGTATTGGTGGCTTAAGGGAAGAGTCCCTAACTTTCTCGTACTCATCTAATTACATCAGGATTCAAACTCATGATCTATTTACTAAGAGTCACATATGTCTGTACCATTCAGCCACTTGAATGGGCGTTTGTCCTTGTTCCGCTTCGATCTGTCAGGCCGCTCCCACAGCCAATCCGCAACAATGGGCCTCTCTCCACTACTCAACCACATGCACAAAAACAAAAAAAAATGGCGGTGCATCTTTCCATGTTCTACAGGAAGATTCATTCATCTTGCATATTTCGTGAGTAGTGGAGAGACCCCCAATATCCTGTAGGGGGATGTAGAAAGTGATACAGTAGGAGAAAAAACTCCACACTTCAGATTCTAATAGTGTCTGCCTCCACACTAACTCATCCCTCATGGCCTGGTACCTTCAGCAGTTGGCCAGGGAATAACACCTTTTGAGCTTCTCCTTCATGGCCTGGTACCTTTAGAAGTTAGTCCCAGGGAATAACACCTTTTGAGATTGCCTTCTCAGGGTGGTCCCCCCAGGGAATAACACCTTTTGAGCTTGCCTTCTCAGGGTGTTATTCCCTGGGACCAACTTGTAAGGGTACCATGCCATGGAGGAGTCATAATTTGAGGGTAGAGTTCAGAAGAGAGCAAGGATTAACACATTCCAAAATTCCAGTCGCTTGAACAAAGAGAGAACCTGGAACTGCATTTCAATCCCAGCTCCACAATGTATGTTTTTTGCAAACACATCTGCGCATCAGGCCTCTGCTGGACACATCATTCTTCTGATTACCAAAGGCCAAGAGTAACAGCGGGCAGCACGAACACAGAGATTGAATTAGCCATATAATGCCAAGCAAAGACAACCAAGTCACGACTTTTGACAAGCAAAGACAGTCAGGTCATAATTTGCCAATGTCTCCTCTTGAATGGTGAATGCATCCAACTGTCGGTTGATAAACAGATCATAAGTTTGAATCCTGACGCGATCAGATGGACACAATAAGGTTAGGGGATAACCCTCTAAAAGCCATCAGTGTGCATCCCTGCTATGTCGTGCACCCTCCGCCAGTTGACACAGGTCCGCGGAGAGGCTCCACGCCTACCGGACCAAAATGGCCAGCAGTGCCCGGCAGGTCTTGCCCCCGTGACGGTTCAGAATGTGAGGGGTGACGAGCAAAAATGTACATCGGAAAACAGAGACTGGGATGTGCTGGTGATCTAGAAGTCCTTACTTTTCCCATGCAAAGAGGTTAAGTCATATGAGTTTTGTCAGGGAAAGACAATGAGGTCATGAGTTTCACCAAGCAAAGACAACCAAGTCATAATTTTTGCCAAGCAAAGACAATCGGGCGAGCGAGATGAGGATACGACAAGGAATGGTCTTCCATGACGCAGAAGTATGTGGGATGTAACCATCAGGTGAAAGCGGATGGTCAGTGAATACCTCTGAATGTCTGCAACACTGCTTGGCCTTATCTCTACACTTTTGCTTGCAACAAGTTCCAGACCATACTTCGATTCCCTCCATTTCCCAACAAAGGACATAGCGCTCCCCTCCGACACACCACCTAGGCAACCCACGACTGTGATAATAACTTCGTTTTTCGTCTTGTTGCCCTTGCCCGTCCCCTTTTTCCTTCTTCCCCCCTTAGTCGCTTCTCGGCCTTCTTCCGAAGCTTTTTTCACCTTCTCGTTTTGTAGAATCTCCCCCAACGCATTCCCAGACGGTTTGAGTCTCACAACCATGTAGCCAGTCTCGATATTCCGGAAAACAATCCTCATAACAACGCCATCAACTCGCATGTCCCCCTCATTCTCATGCCTCTTCGTGCTCCATCTCCCGGGTGAGGTATCAGTTCCTCCCCATCTCCCAGACGAGGCCCCATTTTTTTTGCCACCTTTTTCTGTCACCGCATTGCAGCGAGTCCACATATTACGACGACATGACAGAGCATTCTGTTGTTTCACAAAACCACCTTTCAGTGTCCAGTCTTGAAATCCCCGTCTCATAAAGCCGCCATGCGCCATATAGGGGGAAGTTGCATCATGTGAAATCATGACGCTGTGTTGGAATGGATTCGCTTTCGCCACTGCAAAGCAGGGATGAAGGGTAACAAGGCCCCTTCGCACTCCTATCTTTTGATTGTATTCCGCACACATCCGAAGGCCATGACCCATCACATAATGTACCAACTCATCATCACCTGCTCTCCCCAGCTGACGGCCTTCCTGGCGCAAGCCTGCATTCCTTGGCAATCCCAGTCCACGTGTCAGAGGATCATTCCTCCGACCAAGAGAATGTGTGGCATTGCTACCAGTCGTGAGCTTTGTGTATTGGGCCATGCAGCGACTTTCGGACTGAAATTGCCCATCTACCCCATTGACGGTTCCCATTTTAGCCAGTCTGCTCCTGGCTTTGCACGGACCCCAACCCCATCGCGAGGCCAAGCTTGTCCTTGCTTCCGTTTCCCTCTGAATCAATGCCTCTGTCTCAGGAAAAGCGGCCACCTTCTTCCGTAAAACACTCCCTAATGTCTTCTCTAACCCTGCACATGACAGCTGCAGAGATTCCATGGCTTGGCCAAACAGCCGACAACTGACTCGGTCTCTACCAGGAAACATGCAAGACTAGCCACCTCCACCACATAGAATCAAATCAGATCAATGCCTATCCTATCAGGCCAGCCGTGCTTCCAATGTGGAAGCTAAGGACCACCACCTCAAAAGAGTCATACTTACACTCTTCCTTCTCCATACCAGCAACCACACTCTGACCTCTCCGCTCCACACTCGCTAAAGAGTTACAGTCTCCTCCTCAGACTGTGGTTCCTGCCAACCACTGTCCATGCACTCTTCCTTGTCCGCTAGAGAGTTGTTGCCTTGCTCCCCATTAGAGAGCCCCAACCTTGTGCTCCCCATTAGAGAGTTTCAGCTTTGCTTCCCAGAGAGAGTTGCTGCCTTGCTCCTCGTTGCTGCCCATTAGAGAGTCAATGTGTTTGCTACTCCTTCGAAAGTTGCTGCCTCACTCCCCGATAGCGAGTTGCTTCCTTCCTTCCCGTTGCTCCCCACCAAGGAGTTGAAGCCTTGCTCACAGTTAGGGTGTTGCTGCCTTGCTCCCCGTTAGAGAGTTGCTGCCTTGCTCCCAGTCAGACAGTTGCCTTGCTCGCCGTTAGCGAGTTGCAGCCTTGCTCCAAGACAGGGCTCAGATGCAAGAAGATTAGACATTGGCAGAGAGACGAGCACCCCAGAACCCACCGACCTCTCAGCAGGTGATTGCCACCTTTGCAAGCATTGTTCTTCCCTGCAAAGCAAAAAGCACGGACAGAACCAGGGACGGGTGAAGGCAGCCCTCTGTGTTGGTCAGTTCCAAGGACCCCATCAGTCAACCAGAGAACAGACCAGAAAAAGTTCACTTAACCGGATTCTGGGTTTAGTTATACATGTGTGGCAGATTTGTTTCCTTTTAGGCTGCACTGCACTGCACTGCACTGGACTGGATGTCTTTTCTTTTCTCTTTCCTTTTGACTGAAAAGTTACATCGTTGGTGGAAAGGCTAAGGCTGGGGGGTGTGATAAAAGCACCTGGATTGGATATCTTAACCTTCTGCAAGCACTCTGAGAGCACCAGGAGATGGACTCGGACTGGTAGGCAGTAGGTCTGCCCTCGAGGACCAAGAATGTGTCCTCCAGAAAGGACAAAAGGAGTGATATTCGGGCATTGGCAGCATGTGGTAGCGCTGGAGCAGCGCATTGTTGCCAGATAGCGCCCATGCGAGAGGAGGAAGCTAGGACCTGCCAGAGCAGGGCAGCACTATGCAGGGAGCTGGGTGGTGAGGTGTAGAAGTGGTCATGGAAGAGGAGGAAGATGGTAGGACCTGGTCGTACTCAACTGGTGTTGGCAAGGGGTACATGTGAGACTCTTCAGCAGCATCTGTAAAGTGGCATGTGAACAGAGAGAGTACATTGGTGCTTGCCGTTGTTTAAGGTGACACTGGCATTGTATTTTCCATGGTTCCTACATGTTGACGGTCATCAAATGGGGCACCATAACAATTGGCAAGATAATCCATGCTTGGGGCAGCATCAAGTATCCCTAACCTTATCTACCCTCCTTTTTGTCATTCTTACCATGAGGAAGAGCATTTCGCTTGAGTTGTCGCATTGTGAATTGTGAGTGCAGATCACACCAAGCTTTCAGCCCTGGTGCATCTGGTGGGAGAAGGGTGCTCCATGGGAACTGCCCTGGGTCGATGAAGCACATGACGTGGGATCAGAAACACTCGTGCTTGTGCAGATCACACCAAGCTTTCAGCAGCACGACAGAGACAATCAGACT